ACGTAAGCGGGTCGGTCTCCGCGTTTCGGCTTCGCCGAAACGCTCCGCCGACCCGGTATCCCATAGGCGGCCTTCGGCCGCACAAGCCACATCCAAGAGCCTCGTAGCTGTGGCTAGCCTTGGCTGTGGCCGTGGCTGTGACCGTGGCTGTGGCCGTGGCTGTGACCGTGGCTGTGGCCGTGGCTTGTCATTCGCTCAAAAATCGACCAAAACTCCACTTCCTTCAAGATGCACCCAATCAACATCGACCGAAACCCCACTTTCCCCAATATGCATCCAATCAACATCTACCGAATCGACCAGGGTCCTTCCTACTCCGGTAATTCTCAAATCCCAAATAGGCAATTTTTATTTCCTAATCCGGACGAGCTCCCATAGAAAAAAAAATCGACACAATAACCCTTCGTAAACTCAGGGCATTATGATTGCGATTATCCATAGTTATCTCCTATTTCCCTGCATAATTAACGCTAACAATGCGAACCTCGTATAGGATAGACTCGGATTCGTATCTCGTACTTATCGAAAAACTAGCGGCTACTACCTCAGAACTGGCTAGATCGGCAGTTTGAGACCCCCCGGTGATTTGAGACATGCCCCAGTGTGAAGTATTCTACCAAACGACAAGCGAGTCGTACACGTTCCGCGTTCTGTGTCCGAAGATGTCCATATCGAGATTGGTGTTAGGTGGCTCGTTGATCGTCAATTGATTCTAGAAAATTGGGGGGTTGTTGTTGATAGGTGTCTACGTAGGTAGAGAGTAGGAGTGCTTTGAATTCATTTAAGTAAGATGTAGGGCCTCGAAAATAAGAAAAAGAAAAATCGGATACCGAGACTTTGAGACTGGAAGTTATAAGTGCTACTGTCATTGACAATGTTTGTTACCAAGTCATTTCTCCTCTTTCTTCTCGATATAATAATATCCGTTGTCAATTCAGAAGCAGATGTGCCTCCTCCCCCTGAGCCCGAACCTATCGATGTGATTGAGTTGCCGCTCCCACCTGTATCTGACAGCACGAAAGGTTCATGTACCTCAGAGTCAGGCTGTATCCTACGGCATGGAGGGCTGATTCAGTCAGGAAGCTTTTTACCTGACGGCAACCACGTTATTGCGCGTGTCAACTATACCGGTGCACCCGATTCAGGAAGCATATACGCTGGCGACCAAATAATACTCATCAAATCCGATGGCACTACTTTCCCTAATGGCAGCCCGTTCAAATGCGTTACCTGTGGAATCCCCCAGGATAACGCTGTTGGTCGAGCCAACGATCTGGATTATCCTCAGGCATTCCGCGACGGAAAACGGATTTTAGCCGGTACTAATATTATTGATTGCGGAGAATTCGATCTCAGGAGCGATCGATGTGTCCCCGAGTCGACATTTATATATCCCATCCGTTGGAACACTGCCGTGGATGGGTCGGGAGAGGGTGGGATCCTTCGCGAATTGCGTTTACACCCTGATAACATACATATCGGCTTCAATTCATTCGCCAGCACTGCGGGAAAATTGGGCCAGTACGGCTACGTGGGAAGGCTTGAGTTTAACCCATCGCCAACCACGGGCCTACCTATGGCACCCCGATATGACTTAGCGAATGTGAACGTCTTGGTTAGCGATGGTATTAGAAACCAGCCACTCCTCTTTGACGGAAATCGGATCCGTGTCAACACTGATGCTATCACCGTGGGCGAATTTAGAGGATTTAGTGGAAGTGGTAGGGAGGCTACGTATATCGGTAGTCCGAGAGAATCATCAAACATCGACGTGTTTGCGACCTAACATCGGGCGCTGTCCGTAGGCTCACGAGTCACCCCGAGTACTGTGACCCCATTGATATCTCGGCGGATGATGAATGGATAGCAATTATGGATACTCGAGGTAGCGATAGGCAGATGTTCATGGCTGGCATGCGGAATATCCCCCCCATCACGGATTTAGTTTCTGCGACAGCGGCATCTTCCACCCGAAATAACGGCGAGCGACGTTTCTTTCAGCCGTATCTCCTCGATAGGTATGGCGACCGCGGGGATTATTACGGACAGCGTATCAATGGGGCGGGTGATGGGAGCCCGGGCAGCATCAATGACCCACTATGGAACGGACGAGCCGACCCTAGATTCTCTCCAGACACCACGCGGTTGGTGTATTGGGAAGCTCTTGTCGTTGCGCCGGCTTGCGGAGGTAATAACCCACTTCCTTGCCCTAATTCGACCGAGCCGGGTGGTCGGACGGAGCGAGTGATGATGGCGCATTTCACTTCTCGCCAGCCGGTACCACTGGCACATGTTGAGCCACTAAACGACACTATCCCTTGGGCCACCCCTTACGAGCCGGGATACGTCCCTCCCCTACCACTATTCGTTTCTAGCGGCCAGTATATAATGGATGGTGCGGTAGCTGGTTCGGCTCATATCACCATCGTCGCGGACACCAACCTTACAATTGTCAAGTCTGTTGCTGTGAAATACGACAACTTCTCTGACGATGGACTTACCTTCCTCGATGGCACGGAGAACGTCACGACACGGAATCCAACCATCACTCTGAACCTAGTCGACTGGTATTCCGACCTGGTTCAGACCGGACAGACGAATGCTACTAAGGTGACTAGCCCCGATGGATTCCATTTGTCTATTGACGCGTTCACGAATATCTTCGATGCGAACGGCACGCTGAGCACTACCATCAATGGTACCTTGTACACCCAACCAGCAAATGGCACTTGAACTGAATACATTGAATACTGTAATTTTAGATATTATTAGCAATATGTATTTATCATAGTGGCACTCGTGTGTGTCTATACAACTAGCGACTTTTATCTAATATTTACATACCTATACCGTATTATAGCGGAGTAGATTTGGAGTGGCTCGTAGTTCGGTGTTTCTACGAATACGAGACCGGGGGCATATCTGCGATCGGCCTCGTATTCGTACTTGGTAAATTTCATCCGAAGTTTCTGTATGCATGATTCGTAATCGCCACGCGTTTCCGAGCATCTACTACGAATTTCTATAATCCTTTGACCATACTTCAACATATGACGAGGTAACATAATGTCTACCGTGCTAAGACTTATTATTAAAGTCTACCTACCTAGTAAGCAGTAAGAATGGCCTCGCCAACTCAGAAGGCTACCCGAAAACCGCATGCGAAGACTCGGACAGGATGCCGAGTGTGCAAATCCAGGAAAGTTAAGGTGGGCTCGCTTAACAACTCGCTCTTCGCTTACATCGTTCTAATCGTACTTACATAGTGTGACGAAACGCGACCATCTTGTCGCAATTGTATAAGGTACCTAACACTGGGTTGTTGACTATGCTGTCTCCGAGGAATTGAAATTGACGGCGTGCTGATTGGACTCTAGACGTGGGATTAATTGCGATTTCAACATATCAACCCACCCTACGACCCCTAATCCTCATGTTGCCGGCAGCAGTACCGGGCGTACCCCCACTAGCCAGGTCACATCTCCCATAGATACTTCCATTCATAATCAACATGCGCCGACAGGCTGGTTTAGTGCTCTCGACCTCGAGCTTCTCCATCACTTTACTACTTCAACATGCTTTACCTTTTCCACTGAACCGATGCTTCGTAACTTCTGGCGTGTGAACCTACCGCAGATGGGATTCTCGTATGAATATGTCCTTAGAGGCCTTCTTTCCGTTGCCGCATTGCACCTTTCCCGGTTCAAACCACAGCGGAGAGATACCCTAATCGAACGAGCCATGGTTCACCACAACGCGTCGTCATCTATGGTACTAACTATACTTAATGACTTCACTTCTCCCCATTCAGTACCCATATTCTTCTTCAGCATGCTCACGACATGGTTCGCGTTTGCTAACCCCAGGGAACCGGATAACCTCCTTTTAATATCGAATGGAGTCACGCCCGAATGGCTATTTCTTTTCAGAGGCATGCGTAGCGTAATAGAACTCAATAGTGACGCTATAAGCTCCATCGCGGCATTGAGTTTCATATTCGACTCGGGCAGACAGATGAACGAAGTTTGGGAAAATACTACGCCCCCCGAACACGAAGGCCTTAAAGAACTGGAAAATAACCTCAAGTTATACGTCAAAGATCCGCAGAAATTAGACGAACTTACCCACGGAATAGAATCACTAAAGCGGAGCTTCGTCTATTTCTCCAATGGTAACTTTACCGATGATCAGCGGCTTAGAGCTGCATTTATGTGGCTATTCAAGGTTCGAGAGAATTTTGTAACGTTACTAAAGGAACGGGATAACGAAGCATTGTGCGTGCTTTCTTTCTTCTGTGTCCTACTTCAACGACTTGACTACCTCTGGTGTATAGAAGGCTGGGGTATGCATTTGGTTGGAAGGATATACTCTGTGTTAGATGAGGGACATCGACTATGGATTCGATGGCCGATTGAGGAGATTGGTTGGGTCCCTTAGTATGAACCATAAAACATCCTGATGCTAATGAATAGTTCCAAGAGGCAACGCAATTGTCTCTGGGGATGGGAGCATTATAATTCCATCGCCTATCAGTCGATCTATACCCACGACACTAACCTTCTAGCGGATATGTATACTATAAGCCCCAGTCAGCGGAGATATAATAATAATAATATAGCAAATTCTATTTATTGGACCAGAGTGATCAGAGAGTCCAATGCCGGGTATTAAAACAAGCCAAACAATACTAAATAACAATGCAATTATCCATTTTACAGCCTTTCCAGAGTAGCTAGGCATCGAAAAGTAGTACCAAACGCCTCTCGAAAATATATACCTAGTAACCCTTGACCACCTATCTCGTATTGCCTCTGGCGGAAGGGTCAAATCAACAAGTTAAGCCCTATTAACACACACTGCGTGATATCCTGCCTATCAACTAGTATTATAAGATTGTAGACGATCGCTAAAGATATTGTAGACTAACAAAAACCTTTATCTGGGGACCTCAGTCTTTATTATTGATGACACTGTTCCTGAATATTCGCATTGTTTAGCCCTTGAGATAGTGGTAGCAATGGTTTCGTACGGCCCTACGTCTTAGTAGGCATGAAACCTACCATATTCCCAATCCTATATCTCCCTAATTGTGAACAACAGATTGTTTTTTTTAGTAGATGGGTATTTATACACGTCAAAATCACTCTTAATTTGCTCTCTGCTTCTTCCCACCACCATTATCACCATCACTATCACCATCACTATCACCATCACTATCACCATCACTATCACCATCACTATCACCATCACTATCACCATCACTATCACCATCACTATCACCACCATCCTATTAACATTCAACATACAAATATATTCAAACATTTCAACAACTTAAAACTTTTACCGAAAAGAATTAACAACAATCGCGCCAATATGTCTAACTCTGTAAGACTCGAAGACAAGACTGCATCTGAGCTTACTATGAGGGATTATTACATGGCGATCACGCTTAACCGAAGCGAAGAGGAGCGGGAGGCTATTTTAGCCGAGGCTCGTGAGTGCGATTTTGATCGTCCTTGGCCCATTTATGAATATGACCCGAAGCTTCACCTTGACACAACACCTGAAGAGCTGTTGTCCCCCGAAGTACTTGCGATGCCGTTTGGCGATGTCTTGAACAACTTCTCGCAGCTTGACGGTATGGTTCAAGCTCACGTCAGATTCTTCTTTCGGCAGAAATTAGGTATTCTCGAGGAGCACGGTCGTCAGGTTCTTTATGGTACTGCTGGTTCTCGTGAACTACCAGTGCCAGGTCGTGATGACGCTAGTGAGGGTACTCTAACGACCGAAAGCGACCTGGGAGAGACAGAACAATCGAAGGGCGAGGCGAAGTCGAAGGCTTCTACCAAGGTCTCGGCCCCGGTGTCGAAGAAACAAGGAACTTTTGTTGGTTCCGTTCTTCGCAAGCTACATGGCACTCACTAGCTTCAATGGCTTCAACTCATGTTTTCCTTACCCAGACTGGTGCCTAGACAAGTAATCCAAGATATTCAAGAGCAATATTGAATATCTTTAACATTCATTACATTTAGTAAGTATGTTTTTCGGTGTAAGTAGAATTCATATAAATTAATAAAATACCAAAAGAAAAACTTTAAATTAAGACTTTTACTAAGGTATCTATCTATTATTTCTAAGACAGCTTAGAGGGCATCCTACGTCCCGCCCTGGACATGTTCTTTGTGATATCTAGATCCGTTAACATTAATTTCAATTATTTGAATCAACGAAATCATCCTCTTTCTTAGCCCTATGCTAATTATTACATATGCTTTAACCTGTCTGTTTTATTCCTATTTTCGTAGTCTTTCCACCTTGCCGTTTCCTCTATGTTCAACTCCTCTGCGAAAAAAATAGGTAGTAAACTTCTACCTACGCGAGGATAACAGTCTTCGACCGCCAACAAGGCATCCATGACTTTGGGCTTAGCAATGACCTCTACAAACTCGAGAGGCATACCAAATGCCTCCGGTGAGCGACTAGCACCGGCAACGTAAGTGTTTTGTAAGATGCCTAAGCCACCCACCGCGAGAAGAAACCATGTATTTTGTTGGATTCCCGAGGCAGCGATCAGGGGGAAGATCCAGAGAACAGCTAGAACAAGAACAACTAGCCTTACCGGCCACGACTTGATTCTTCCCCAATCAGAAGCGGCAAGGTCCTCTAGGTCAAAACCAACGCCGGCACCTTGAATTACTATGGCATATTGGCTGCCATTTCCTCTAGTCAACGCGAATGTCTTCTCGGTGTCCTCACGACAGGCCCATTTCTCTTTAGCCCACTGAGGAATAGCTCCCGATATGAAGGCCAATATCATGCCTGCTCCGGTCACGAGCAGAATACTCCAATTGCCGTATATCCCGCACGGTATGGCTGCCACTCCGAGCTGTAAGAGACAGGTAACAAGCCCGGCAATATACGGAGAATCATACCCGGGGTAATTCTTAAACGGCTTTCTTGCCCTGTAAACGGGAACACACAATCCTGCTTTAGGCGGTCGTGTCGGTTCCGGTTTCCCCCTTTCTCGGGCGCGACGCTTCATATTCTCCCAGCTCAGGTCGATCATCTCTTTGACGCTATTCTCAACCGGATTCCGGACAGCAACTCTATTTACCTCTACAACACCATTAGCATCGGTGTTCTGTGCCTGTGGTTGACTGTCCATCCACGTCTCAAAGTCCCGGACGATGCGCCCGATAATCCAACTATCATTGTCGCGCGCAAATCCGTTTTGCGCGTTGACGACTTTACACGAGTAGTCGGGGGCGGGCATCAGCCTGTCCCCACCAATGGCGGATAGAACAGCGGTTACGGCGTATGCAACCCATCCTAAAGGAAGGGAAGGTGAGATCAGACCAGCTGAAAGGTAGGTTCGTATCAACAGCAGGTGGCCCCCGGGGGGGGGGGGGGGGGGGGAGGCATACCAAATGAGAATGCAACTGGGGTAATGCGCGACCCCACCAACTGCGCGAGCGCGCGAGCAACGACGTCGCCCCCGAGAAGAAGGGGCACGGAGAAGACATCAGTTGGATTCGTGAACTGGCTCGTAAAGTCGCTCGAAGGAGCGCTCGGATCGAAAGCGCGCCGTGTAAAAAGGTAGCAGAGGAGCCATGTTGCTCAGCGATGTTGGGTAAGTCTGGTGGAGGACAAGATTCAAAAGTCCAGGAGCGCATAAACTATCTCCAAGTAAAGTGAGATAGCTAGTAAGCCGCTCTGATATTATTAGGAGTTAAGAAACAAAACAAAAACAGGGGTGTGCGTCGATTATGAGCTGTCATAATTTCCTCAGCTCGCGTCAGCCGCACTGCTAGGACTTCGTACCGTGCAGGTTTTGCTTGTTTAACCGTGGTTTATATAAATCTTTCTAAACTTTTAGTCTTGTAATTATCTTGACCGCAGGATGGGCTTCATCTGGTTTGCGGGTTCAACCCCCTACCCCCAGCCAATGGGTTGTTTTTTGAGCCTAGAGGAATAGTCTACGATAATGTCGTGTAAGTATAAAGTATAAAATAATACATCGTCTTTGTGTAGCACTTAGTCACGATTTGAGGTATCTCCAAGAGTTAAGCTTGAAGTTATAGTTGTGGGACCATCGCATTCGAAACGTGCGGCCCGTTCCGTGATGTACATAGACTTTACCCTGTAATCTATGTAAATACTCCGATGCTTGGGACTAGGTCAAGGTTTCGATGGTGTCCTTGACTTAGCTATATATTCTATCTACTTGCGATCAAAGTAAATAAAACGTCGAGATCGTGACGATAAGACTAGGTACTTCTAATGCTGACTTTCTACAGGTTAGTGTAGGCCAAGTACGGGATTTCGGCTCATAGATCATGATAACGCTCGGAAAATTTGGACATAAGAAGTAGTAATCAAGCGATTGACTTGTATTATAATTAATTTCTATGTTGATGGCTCGATGCCTATGTGTGTCTATGATCAGTCAATATATCATAATGTCGTGATGGTAACCCCTTTCCCTAAACCCGCTATCTGTTCCTCATAATCCGCCATTAAAATACCCAATATTTTTTAGAGAATGCCTTATGCGACGGCAGTAATTTCGTAGGGCTCAAGTGGTAACGTTACTGGCTCGCACTGAACTGTACGAGCCGTGTAGATGTTACCGATCGTCCAGTTAGGGTTGGTCCATGTCTCATCGGTGCAGGAGAGATCCAGATCGACGGTACCATAAGCATTAATGGTAGTACTATAAAACTTGTTAGACTTGATGGCGACTTACGTTCTTTTGGTGGTGGTAACTTACGGGTACTGCGGATCAGTGTCGCTGCAGGTCCAGGTCTGGTTGACGTTTAACTTGCCACTAGGGCGGCTGAAGTCGAAAGTAGTCTTTGTAGTGTGACCCTCGGGAACAGTGCAGGTGTACGCCATTGTACCGTAGAAGAAGTCGGAGAGCTGGTTGCTCGAGGCACTGCAAATAGCTTGGTACTCGAGAGCCGGGTTTGTTAGGTTGAAGTTGACATAACCCCACGAGTTTTGATGAGCGGGTGTAGAGAAAATGTAAGATGCATGGTAGTCGAAGTTTTCAATTGTCCATTCAAAGTTGCCGAAAGATGCTTCTTGGCAACCGGGATTGCTGTCGCGGTTGTAAAGTTCCAATGGCGCCGCAGCTGCCAAAGGTAGGAGAGTGGTGATGGTTGAGATGAAGCCGCGCATTTTGATGTGATGTGTATTATATATTGTATCAATTATGGTATACAATAAAAGGTAGATTTGGTAGTTGATGAATTATATATTATTGTTGATTGTATGTTGTATGTTGTAATACTCTATTGGTTGATGGTGTATATAAAATTCTCACCAAGATGGTGGAAGGCATTTACACTTATATAATATTGGTAGTTCTCACTTATGGGCAGCTCCTCTCGTGAAGAATGAGATCTGGTGATGGACTCTAAGAACGGATGCAAGAAGCTAGTGACGTCGACAGGCGATCTTGGACTGCATCGAGCCGCCAAGATCTCGTATTGCTGAGAGGGGCTGTGAGGCTTAGGTATATCTAGCGAGTCATAGTGCTAACGGAGGCCGAAAAAGGAAAAGAGACGGCCTAAATGCCGATGTTACTGTCCGTTAGTGGACCTCTTAAAGAGCACAATTCAAAGAGTGCCCGACTCTTATTAGCCATACTACCTCTAACCAGCCAGCCACAACAAATTGTAGTCCCGGAAATGGATAGAGCTGACCGATAGATGCGGCACATCTGATTTTTTATTCGTGTTGCACAACAGTTATTTTTATCCTCGCCTATGCATATTATGCATGTTATCGTACCGGTACGATGGAAGGGGTCCGGCCGGTAAACTTTGAACACCTTAGCGCTCTTAATGTCCTTAACCCAATCCTTAGGTTCGCTCTTAGGTGAGCTGTACAACCGAGCTGACGCCTTATAGAAGTCGGTGATTGGACAGCTATCTAGGTACCAATTGTTGAGGCTGCGCAAATGGAGAGAATACGACAGTAACGTTACTGATCAGCTGCAGGTACTATGTCTTAGGAATTTTCATTCAATGACTTTTTGCCTTCGCTTATAGACAGCGGCCCGTTTAGTGATGCGAAGACTCAGCAACATAGCGAATTATCAAAGAACATTTGATTGAGTCCACGTCGAATCTAGTAGAGTCTGTCCGAATCATGTCTCGGTTTATCCGTCCATATCGAAATACGCGAATTCTTTGTTGAACCGACGTCTACACCGCATACGATAGCGAGACCATGCTAAGAAATACTATTTGTTTTTGTGCCCACTTCAGCCTTGAGACTATAATGAATTTTGGCTGTTATCGTATCAGCATGATATCATGTCTCGTTAAAAATGCTATCGCTCGAAAGCCCGGTATCTTCGGCGGTGAGCGGAAATCCACGCAACACAGCATTAGGTTAGGTAGATTTCCGCGGACTTCATTCATTAAGACGCCTGTTTTTCTTTTTCTTCGAGTGGGCTGCTAAGCAACTTAGTTTACCAATGAGCTATGAAATCTCTAAGCTCTTGAACATGTTGATGATTTACTTGGATATCCGTTACGTCATTGCTTTCGGTTTGAAATAATAAAGTAGCCAAGAGTTTTACATAGTTAACTCTTCTCTTTATTGCTGTCCGAGGCCGAGATGACTCCATAGCTTCCTCTTACGTAGTTGCTATAGCTATATGCTCAGCCGAACTATTTGTAGTTCTCTAAGTCATAGTTGAGTTCCTAAAAGCCAAACCGTGGAAAGCAACATTGCATCCTCTTATTATGAATATACAATTACTTTCATACCACCGTGGATATGCCGCGCCGTGTACGACATAATTAAGATAGAAATCGTCCCAACAACCTCGATGGAGAGCAACGATGGAACAACCTTAACCTTTAATAATGCATCAATAAAACGAAGCTTTTTCGCCATTGATAATATAGGTAGTTGTTAACAGTTTAACATGATGGTTTGGTTAAGACTATTTAAAATGAAGATTCTTTTCACTTGCTATAAAATATAGATTGCAGCTACACTGAGGATAAAGGCGATAAATTATTTTGGTTATCACTGATCATGTCTAAAATATAGCGAGGTAAAAGGTAGACAGTGATGCATTTATCAAATATACCTGCTTGTATGCATACCTTAGTAAGTACCTTATATGCAATTACCCCACCGCCTGACCGTGTCACCGTCATGCCGGGGTTTCGGTCTGCTGCGCGTGTCTCATGCCCCGTGCCTCGTGCTGAAAGCTTGCCGCCTACTTTCCATTCCCCTTCCGTCGCCAACAGTACCAGGTATTTACTATTCCAGCAAACTTCATATCTTCAGAACGGAGATAGATACAGAAGCTCTTCGCAGTTTACCGTCAGCAGTATTATTTCTCGTCAATCGGTATAATAAACGAGTTTACATCTAAGGGTATGGCGCCACCCGCCGAGATCACCATCCCGACAACGTCGCTTCAAACCCCGGCCGACAATTCGAAACCCTATACGCTCTACAATATCACCCTACGCCTTCCTCTACGAACGTTTGTTGTACAGAAGCGTTATTCCGACTTTACCACATTACATCAAAACCTCACCTCCTTAGTTGGCGCACCACCGCCCACCCCTTTACCGGGGAAATCGTGGTTTAAATCTACAGTCACCTCCCCCGAACTCACCGAAGACCGCCGTCGTGGCCTCGAAGCTTACCTCCGCGCCATTGCCGAGTCCCCCGACCGTCGATGGCGTGACACGCCGGCGTGGCGCACTTTCCTAAACCTCCCGAGCCTGAGTAGTACTAGTAATAGCGCAGCCAGCGTGAGAGCTGGTTATGGCATTCCCAGCCGAGATGCTGCGAACGCTGCCGCCGCACAGGACCCGGGGACCTGGCTCGATCTACATGGAGAAATGAAGAGAGATTTTCAAGAGGCGCGGCGGTGTCTAGCAAGGAGGGACAGTGCTGTGGATAATTCCGCTGCGCTCGAAGCCGGATCAGCTGCCAAGAAAGCGCTGGTCAAGGCCGGCAGCTTACTGACCGTTCTCGGAGATGGTCTTAGGGTGATGCAGAACGCGAAGAGGTTGGGCGATGGCGAGATTAGACGGCGGAAAGATTTGCTCGCTGCTGCACGGGTCGAAAGAGAGGATCTGGAGAAGCTGAGCACGGCAGTATCCGCAGCTGCGAAGGCATCTCAAAGGGCCATGCCTTCCGCAGCCGACAAAGCCGCGTTAATCGGGAACGGGCCCAAAGGACGCGGCAGGGTTCTCGGCGCCCCACTGCCCGAGAGCGAGCGCACCCGGGAATTGGACAACAGCGGAGTCGTCCAATTGCAGAAGCAAATGATGAAGGAGCAAGACGAAGATGTAGAAGAACTAGGTAAGATCATCCGGAAGCAGCGCGAGATGGCGGTGGCGATCAACCGCGAAGTCGAAGAGCAGACCGAGATGCTAGATCACGTCAATAACCAAGCGGATGTCCTGAGTGGCAAGGTCAACGTCGCTAAGAACCGTACTAAGAAAATCTCATGACTCGACCTGGTCATTGGATCGGCGGTTAAAGGGCTCCTCCTCTGGGTCGAGTTTGTTTTAAGGATCATCTGGCTCGTCAGAAGTATATTCGAGTGGACGGCTTGGTTAATTGAAAGCTTACTCTTATTAGTACTAACGGATTGATGACTGTTCCTATGCATTTGAAGTCGCCATAGATCGTCTAGCATCAGCGCGTTAGTCCGTTTGAGCGACCTTTTCAGCGACCTGTACGATATGACGGGCATTGTTTTATCGGATAAGGACAACTGTACTTTTATAGACATAGCAACTTCTACATGGAGATACCAGTAGACTGAAGAGATTTTGTATACTCTTAAGCTATATCATTTACCTGATGTCTTGGCCTTGGTCTTGAGGGTATAACATATCTACGTAGACATACAACGAGCACGCCTAGAAAAGCATGAATGGGATAAGGGTGTTTGGAACGCTACGATATGTAGATAATTCTATTGGTACTAATCAATATGCCTTATGTCTCAACAAACAGCTAACTGGCCTTTATCTAAGGTCGAAGGAACAATCCGTTGGAAGCTGAGCTGAATAGCTACAGATGCTTTGTTAATATTTCGTTTACCATTGCCCAGCGCCATTCAACCTAGTGTACGGTCTAGATATATCCTGCTATAAATCTCCGAGGAGCCGTTGCAGCAATCTCACGGTACCGTTTCTAAGTTTGAATTGTCATCCCTTAGGTACGTTGGGGTCATTCTCTCGTAAAACATGGGACGATTTGTACGCTTAGTTAATTACCTCCTAGGTAGGTTAATCCTAGTTTTCCGGCCTTCCTTTTTTTTTACAAAAAAGGAGAGAGAGAGAGAGAGAGCAAGATGTGACTCAAATCTACCTCTAGATGGTACAAAGGCATTGTTCTCCGTTCAGGTCAATTGATAATCTAGTCCTTATACCTTAGATAGGGGTTGATACATAAGATAAGGAGACAGTACTATCGTAAATAAAAGACGAACCTGATCGGAGCGCCCACCACAAGTAAACTGTTAGTAAATATAAAAAAGTTGTATTTTAGGGTTTAGGTAACAGACAAAAGTGCTAAACAAGCTTATTATTATATGAAAAGTATTTTTTTAAAGAGGCTGAACATTCTATAGCCTCTTTGACGAAGTTTAATATATATACCTCTATAGTTACTCAGTCCGTTGTGTATTTACTTCAGTAGACTCCCTAAATTGTGCTACACGGATAGAAAGTAAGGCTTAACATTTATGACTCTCGTCACGCCAAAACCTTGTTCAAGTGGTCAGCTGGCAAACAACTCGTGAATCACTAACACACAGGTAGCTACCTAACCTAAGGCAAGAGTCACAGCCTTACAAAAGACAGAGCACACAGGTACGTACATATAAATAACAGTACAACTCTAAATAAACTTTCCATTCGAGTCAGTGCGTAGGATATTAGGAGTCACAATGGTTGCAAAATTTTCTGTCGTTGCGTACCTTAGGTGTTTATAAATAGACCTGCACCTACTAACGTTCTACCTCCAGGTCACTCCTTATTCTACACTCCTGCTGGATATAAATAAATTCACCATCCTCATCTTTCTTCATATTCAATCCGAAACCACTCGTCTAAAATATTTCATCGGTTTCTACTTTCTTATTGAATCATCATCATCATTCTACACATCTCAATAGTCACCTCTTCCCGGTACGTCTTTCGATTTCTACTACTACCACTTCTCAATTACAACTAAATCTAACCCATCGCCTCTTCATAGAATTTCCGCCTCCATAACTACCCCTATCCTTACCCCTAAGTTATTTACGTACCCAATAAGAAGTCTCCAATCTTTCATTCAAACATTCTCGTCTAAGGCACGATGGAGTCCACACGAGCTACCAAACTTAGAAAGGAGGCAAAGGCTATCGCCGCCGACCGAAGAAAGCATAAGGAGAAGTGTCGTTTGGTGCAACGATGGGTTTACGACAAGTACAAGCCCAGTACCGCTGGTAGCGACGAAGAAGCTCAACTCGACGCTTACGACGGGGAAACTTCTGCTGAGAAAGCGGTTATCAGCACACAGCCAGCAAAGCGTTCAGTCTGGCATCTCCCGGCCTCATTAAATGGGCGACCAGGGCCAAGAGGCTTGGCTTTGGGCACGATGCTTCAGGTTGCAGAACATTGCTACCAGATTTCCACCAACGATTTCGACAGTATGAGCTTATGTGACCACATCCACCACATCCAGGAAGCTTTACAACCAGACAACTCGCCGACGCCAGTCTTGAAAACACTAGTGACTCAACCTTTAGTAGTCCAGGCCCAACATCAGCAATATCTGGCCCAGAAAGATTTCACAGCCTGTGTGGCCAAGATTGCTATCCACAGCAACTTACCAGGAATCTTCAAGAAAAACTTGAAGACGTGCAAGGACTGTTACGATAAATTCCGACCTGGTTTAAAGTCCTGCCCATGCGCCAAGACCAAGCAAACCTGTCTTCATGGTCCATGTCGCTACCACCCAGGTGAGCATTCCTATCATCGCAATATACACGTGACAACCTGCTAATCAAATAATTACACAGGTCAAATTAAATCCTGGGGAGTGGATTGCGGTAATCTGGACTTCCTGACAAAGGAAAAGGTCACCATTCAGGAATTCGACATATGGATTCACCAGTGCTACTGGGACTGCTGTGGTGCCAAGCTGGTGCCCGTCGACCCTGATACGGGACGGCGTAGCCAGAAGAGAAAGAAGGCACCTCCACAGCCTTGGGAGATTGCAAATGATATAGACGGAAGCGTGGGTTGCATGACCCGGGACCACCACGTTGCGATTCAGTAGCGTGTTATCGTTTACTTACGATTCTACTTGGAGTCGTTGGATGTTGAAATTGGTCCTATTGACCACGGAGGGAAAGTGCATGGCTTTGGAAGAGCGTGCATATATAGGTTTACAGGATTACAGGATGGGATACAATACCCCATAGCGTTTGGTGACTATCACATGATTTTAAATTCAGCAGTTAAGCGATTTCTTAACTTAGTCTTAGACAAGATGCCGTTATAAACCCATCAACAGGGTATCTAGGGCAAGGGGCTTCGATCAATATAAGTAGGTAGCCTAGCCTACACTAAGTACATAATTTCCCGTACTTCAATAGATCCTCACATTCTGGTGTTGTTCAAGCCTACATTCAACCATGTGCTATACGTCCCTTAAGCTGGTATTCGAGTTACTCCTTTGGTATCGTAGTGGCGACTATACCACCGTCAGGGGGGAAACTCCATAAATAACCCCTAGGGTGCCACAAGTGTGAGAGGACAGGATGAAACAGAGGGACGGGCCACGGCTTAGTAAATGCCACCGTCATAAAATGCCTAAGGTAGCTAGTTGGCTCCGATGACTGTAATACCTAATATGTTTAAATCAATCTTGATCTTTCGTTTGGGTTTCTCTGGAGGAAGATGAAGGAGGAAGAGGTTTTGAAATAACTCGATTTTCTTTTCTTTTCTACAGTCTTTTTCTACTCTGTATCTATGAACGGTGTCATTTAGAAACATGTTTACGCTATGAAATGAGTATGGTACGATGGCACTATAGCTCTAAAGTCTGTGTACTTCTACCTAACCTTTCAGCTTGTAGTATCATTGCTTTCTGGGACTTCATCCTCAACATCGGAGTCTTCCTCCTCATCAGAATCTTCCTCCTTCTTCTCAGGTGCTTTCCCCTTCTTCTCGGATGTTTCCTCTTTTTTCTCGGAGGTCTCTTTGTCTTTCTTCGGCGATTCTACGTCGCACCAGCATTTCCAATAGAGAAATTTGCATTCATCGCATATCAGATCCGGCCCACATTGTACCAGCGGGACGGGTGCCTCAATTATGCTCTCAACTCCGGTAGGGGGTGGGGTGATGAAGATGTTAGCAATCATTGTGAAATTAGTGAATGTGCGTAAGTTAATTGGTTGAAGTGACTATGATAATGATGATGATGATAAAAACGTGAAATATTCTATGGATATACTCATTTTATATAGGCCTTGCCTGTAATCTCAAAATATGACACGTCAAACCACGGAAGTAACAAAGTTAATGGTAACAAAGTATGTTTTCCATAGTTTTAACCCTAGATTTAAAATCCGTATAATGCCTATAATGCGATTGTCCCTAAGAGAAAGAAAGTACGTTTAAAACAAGCCCTTTTCCCATGCAACAATATCGTTAGACTAGTAACAAAACCTTAATATTTTCATTTCTTCTTTCGATTCTATGAAAACATTCATCTTGTCACTATGTCTATCGAGTCCAAGTTAGGATGTAAGGATTGCTTCCTGCTATTATAACAAAGATGAACTTTAAGTCATTATGATTCCTTCGACTACCAATTACTCGTAAGGACCGGCCCAAAAATTAATTGGAAGCTCTCGATTTCTTTTGATATAGATAGTAAAAACATCGCCCTGTATACGTACCTAAATATATTATGACTTAGTATATTATAGTCGTAGCCAATCCTCTTGAGTCTAACTAACTTTAGCGTGGACAATCCTGTCAAGTTGATTCAGGGGAAGACTGGGGTATTCTCGAAAGTGTGCACCAGATTGGATTCGTCTCAAACGATGTTATTATCCGGGACTCTATTAGGAGTCCGCTACTTGTTCTTATAGTAATCTAGTGAATGTACGGAATAAAATTTCCGCACCTACGTGGAGATTACCCAAACCTAAGCTCCTCGACACTGATATTATGACAGCCAAGAGAATACTATCGAATGCATCTATGTTATTGATATTCAATGTGCCTACATATGAAGTAGCTAATACTCTAAATCGTAGATCATCGCAGCAAGTTCTTACGTGGCAATCCCATTAATAATCAAAGGATTCATTAAGGGAGTGCGGCTCCGAACACAGTACAACATTTCCGAAGGACCTCTTACCGGTTAGTACGCACATGAACTGAGACAGGATGCAAGATAATCGGGTCCGAAGTATACCGGTATGCGGGTTTCAGCCACTCGAGGCAGCCCTATGATGGAAACCACCCTATAGGTCCGTACGTTACGGCCGAGCATATTCACCGCGCTTAGGCTTTGGACGACCGTTTCTGCGCTGCGTATTATGATAAAGATCGCCCTCCTATGTAGACCTGCTGACTGGCGAGTCTTCTTAAGGTATCAGGTTTGTCTTACTCGTAACACTGGCGTAGTCCTGTACTCGCCACGTTCTTCGACCAAGACATAATCGGAGTTACAGCACACCGGTGGGCGTCGTCATGTCTGTCATAATATCTTAAGCACACCTAAGTCACTAGAAAAACCTCCCGACTGAGCCTCTCTCGGAATTACCTATAGAGCTCGTTAGGATCGTGGGGATCACGGGCGAGTTAACAGCGAGATCATGGCAATAAATATTGGCTGACTATTCTTGGCGATTATTGCGTTTCAATTTTACGAATATGATCATGCGGCTCTAGATCGACTGTATGATTATGAGTAGACTTTCTAGAATATTTCCTTGCGCATAGCGGGTGAAAAATAGCGATCAATGGCGTTGAGGCGGTGTTGATAGCCAATTTCTCCCAGTCACGCGCCGGGCTGCGACGCCGTCTCACTGGGTGATTAACCAATCCTCTTAAACTGGAGTACGTATGGACTTTCTCGCTTGGAATAGCTCGCCCCGATGCGGGCCGAGCAGCTTGCGTAGTCTTAGCCGGACAACTGGAGGGGCGATCCACGACTGTAATAGAGACAAGACCATTACAGAAAGGGTCTGATGATGGGGTCAATCAACCACTACAATTATTCCTAACAGATTGGTATCGATGCAATGTTATATATATATATGAACCGGATGCTTATACGAGATACAGGTTCTTATATTTGCTGGACTTGGATACTCGTAGACTTACCATTTGCTTGTTGACTTGTCACTTTATCCTATCAGTGTATGTGTAACGGGTTTCGGCCTGAGTTGATAGAAAATGTGATAGGGCGGAACTACTCGATTTGGACTAAGATGTTGTCAGCTATTACACAGACATGTTGTGGGATAGCGCAAGCATAGCCAACCACATGCCTTTTCCGTCGCCGTGATGATTATCGGAGGAAACGCTAGTTAGCGTGCGGGTACGTGGGTGCGAAGCCGAGATCCCATGCTAGATATGCGTAGCCGGAGAAGGAGAGCGGCGAGGGAGGTGGATCTAGGTGCGTTGTCGATCTAAAATCAGGGTCGTCGGCTCAGGGAAGTGGGTTGTCTTAGTTAATAATGGTATTAGGCGATTGGTTCCTCGATTAATAGGTCCTCCTACGATTAGCTCGAGGATGAGATGGGTTGCCGGGTTTTGGTTCCGACTTTCTTCGAGACGGGATGGGTTGAAGCGGATACAGAGGGCTTGGCGAGTGAATTATTATACTGAGTTACGAGATGGTGAGACTTATGAACGGGATTCGACCGTGTGGCCAATGCACGTTTCATCTACGGATTTGGGTATGCCACGTTGTCTACGACGCTGGTGGTGGGTAGGCCGAGGAAGTAGGAATGCGGTTTGGTGGTACAATTGTGTTACCGCATTAGACGGGCCCTTGCTTTGAAGCGCGAGAGGTGTGAAAGTGACAAAGCTGTATATACGTAAGAGGCAGGTTGGCAGGTTGGCAGGTCGTATGTCAAGTGGCGAGTAGATTCCACTATTGTAATAACGTCGAATCCGTATTCGTCTGCTATCAAACGCTTAGCCACGGCTAGTCTATGTGCAATGGTAGAAATACTGTCGTTGGGCTTGAACTGTTAGAGTTACTTAAAACAAGTAAGACTAATAAGTTGACTACTCTGTGTTCTATAGCTGGTAAGGATCCACCAACAAGTTGGATGTGAGTCAACTCTGGTTCGGGCATTTAGTTCTACAGTCTATAAGTGCAGTAATCGCTAATTGGTAAAGTATGACGACATGCTGTTGTAGAAAATGCTACTCTCGATGCATTTCGTAGAGCTGCGATGTGACCCTTATCGTTTTCACGTCCAATGTCCCTTCGAGATATGACGAGACCAAACTGCCTGAGGCCATAAGTAGAGATGGCACGCGGCATGCGGGCAGGACATTGTTATAGGATGTGATCTGCACCATCGGTGAAAAAAATTCCCATGACTTGCAGTAACCTAAGTGCCCATTAGGCGGGTCTGATATTATTATTAGTTCCTTAAGTCGGCTCAAGGTTGGTTGCATAAGATCCAACCCGCGGAACAGTTGACTATCGGTTCTGGACACGGCAAGCCAACGGCTTGTTATGGGACCCATTGAGTGTTACTGTAAACTGCAGGATGACAGAGTATCCCACACAGGCGGCTCCCCGGTTCCAGGGCTCAGGCCACCTAGAGTCTTCTTCGAACATAGGTTTGATATATTGTGGCAAGAACCTACGGTCGTTTGTTTAGTCGAGTTGAACTCGTCGTAAGCGTTTGTCCGTACCCGATAAAAAAAAACCTCAAGGGCCGATAACTGGTGTGCCGATGGTCCCATGTGGTCTGACAAGAATCAAAACCTGATAACGACAACATATCAGCAAGTCTTGTGGTAGTACTATGTACGCTTCTGCTCTATCCCGATAGCCCGATAGCCCGATAGCCCGATAACCTAGGACCAGTGGCTTATATGTATGGGGCTACAGATGGGGGCACGTTGTATTATCTCTTCTAACTGCCCTGACTGCCTGATGCCAGGGACTTCAGCTAGAGATAGCATATTTTAATAATCAGTGACTAATGGACAACCCACGCCGCTCGATACTGTCTACTGTCTCAGGACTCTCAGGCACAAATCACGGCGCGACGTCATGGGCTTGGCAGACCC